ATTTCCTGGATGTTTTGTGTTAAGAACTTTTTGCATTTTGTGTTTTCTTTGACAGTTGTGTCAATATTTTCTATGGTATCTTTTACACCTGAGATTCTCTCTTCTATCTCTTGATGATGCTTGCATCTATGACTCCTGATCCCTTTCTGAGGTTTTTTATCTCCAGGATAGTCTCCCTTTGTGATTTCTTTATTGTTTCTACTTCTATTTTTATGTCCTGGATGGTTTTGTTCAATTCCTTCACTTGTTTGGTTGTGTTTTCTTATAATTTTTAAAGGGATTTTTGTGTTTCCTCTTTAAGGGCTTCTACCTGTTTACCTGCGTTCTCTTCAATTTCTTTGAGAGTGTTATTTATATCCTTCTTAAAGTCCTCTATCATCATCATGATTAGTGATTTTAAATCTGAGTCTTGCTTTCCTGGTGTGATGGGGTATTCAAGACTATCTATTGTGGGAGAACTAGGTTCTGATGATGCCAAGTACCTGGGGTTGCTGATGCTTATGTTCTTGAGCTTGCCTTTCACCATCTGGTTATCTTTAGTGCTACCTGAGCTCACTGTTTCTGACTGGAGCCTGTCTTTCCTATTATTTTGGTTGTGTCAGAACTGTATGGGGTGGGTGTTGCTGCAGGGGGTTAGAGTTCCTGGGAGTCCCACCTACTGTGGGTTTTGTGGGATTGGGTGCAGAACTGAAGCCCAAGATCGGCTCAGTGCTCGGGTGCAGACCAGGAGGAGTAGTGTGTACTCTCTTATAAGTGGATAGTATCTGTAAAAGTTAACCATACTACAATCTACAATCTACAGATACAGAGAAGCTAAGTAACAAGGAGGACTCAAGGGAGTCACACATGCATCTCCCTGGGGAGCAGTAATAACATAGGTATCATGGGTAGGTGAGTGGTGTGGGTTGGGCATGGGAACAGGAGGGATCAAGTTGAGGGAGGATGGGGGTAGAGAATACTTGGAGAGACAACTAGAATTGGGGGTGGCATCTCAGGGACAAGCTAGAAACTTAGTGATCTGGAAACTCCCAGAACTCTATAATGCTGACCCTAGCTAAGACTCCTCAAAATGGGGGATATAGATCCTGAACTGGCTATCTCCTCTAATCAGGCAAGACTTCCAGTGGAGGGACTGGGATGACAATCCAGCCATAAAACCTTTGGGCTACAATTTTTTCCTGCCTATAGGATGTACTAGGGTAAAGGTGGTGCAGAAATTGTGGGAGTGGCCAGCCAATGGTTGGTCCAGCTTGAGACCCATTCCATTAGGGGAAACCTACCACTGACACTGCCTGGAGGACCAGGACCCAGATGTGGGATAGCCCAAAGACCTAGGCTAAAACAAACAGGACTGGCAAAATAAAAGTCAATAAAATTATTCCTAATGATATTCTGCTATACTCATATGTTGGAGCTCTGTCAAAAGAATGACCCACGGTGAACAATGCCTTGGGGAACTGTGAGAAAGGCTCCAGGAAGAAAGGCAGAGGGCCTTTTACTGGACGTGCATTTTCTTCACTGAATTATTCTTGGTGTGATTTCATGCCTCCCATAACAAACACTTACATTCAATCTGTAAGACACGTTTATTCTTGTTGGATGTCAGAATGTAGCTATCAAACCCAATTTGGTCAGTGTACCCTGAATCTGGATATGCTTTTGTGCTTTCTCAATATAATCTATATACCATATATATGTAATCTATAGTACATGATGCCAGGCAATTGTGTTTCAATTGCTATATCCTGAGAAAGTTCTGGGAAAGGGCTGTTCTAGTAATATTTAGTATGTGCTTATTGACATTTATTTACATGTTTTTCTGATCTTGTTTTCCTGGGCTCAAACAACTTCTCTTGGATCATTGCTTTCTTTTTTTTCTCTTTTTTTATAGCATAAAATTAATTTTATTACTCAAAGCTAACCTAAAATAAAATTCAATCCATGAAAAACATGCTTATATATTACTTAAATATTTTTTTAAAGCGGAAAGTAGTTTTTATTCCTTTATGGAGAGCATGCTGGTCTATATATCTTAAAAATTACATTAGATACAGTTGTCTTTATAAATCAATTGTACTATCTAAATATATATTGGATCTTTAACAATATTTGATTTCTATTCAATTTGAATAATATATTGGCTTTTTGGAAAATATGAACAATTAAAAGAAAATGCAAAGACTTACAAAGGGACAGCATTGAGAAATACAAAAGAAAGCGTTCTTGGGCTAACAGCTATACAATGTCTAATCTATAGTTTACAGAAAGTATCTAATTTTATAATTTTTTTTCTCAAATCAAAATTAATTCACACAGGGGTTATAAACACAGAAAGGCAGGATGTGGGGAAAGGAATGACACTGGAGTGTGGGTGTTCAGGAGGAATACAGATATCTTCAGAACCGGGTATCAGCTGGGTGAAGGTTCAGGGGACAAGTCACTATGACTCTGCCTATGACTCGCTTGTCCTTATCTAAGTTGGTATAGTCTGCCAAGGCTACCTATTTACAAGGTCTATGACTACTCAGGCTTACAAATTTCCACAAAAACTGCCTGTTGACATTAGCTTATAGCCATCTGTTTCAATGTTTTTCCACTGAGACCCAAGACTTGATGTTAGTATACATGTATGACAGGCCTATTGCTGATTTTAGGCCTATGGCTGATTTTAGGCCTACAGTGTGTAAGCAGGGCTGCCCCTGACATCTCCTCCCTCCTCTAAGTATAGAAGGGCTGTGGCAATTCTAAACTTGCGAAGGCGGGCGTAGAGGCCTGACCTCCAGTATTTGAAGGGGACCTTGTAATGGCTCCCGTCCCCCTGTCGTTGTCCAGTGAGGCATGAGGGCCATACCCATGCCGATGTCTTTTTCCTGGAGAGGGGACACTTTTGACATCAACCCCTATGCAGTCAGGCTTGTCCCTCAGGGAACCCAGATAGATATTTTTATCTTTTATTTATATTCCCTTGTAGTGCTTAGCCTCACAGCCTAAGCAAGAATTCAGATTGCCTGTCAGAGGGGGTTCTGGGTGGCCCCTCTCTGCCTGGTCTAGGGGTGGAAGTACTCTCTTTTAGGTTGGGTGGAGATGAGTTTTGGGAACACCCTGTATAAAGTAACAACCTCATCTTGAGTCTCATGGTCCTCCATAGCTAACTTATGATAATGTATCTGAGTAGGTTTTGCTACCAGATTATTTATCTGTTGTATCACAGAGTTAGTCCACCTATTTGAGGGCCAGGGACCAGCAGAAAAAAGCAAAAAGAACCCAAATAATGGTCCCAAGATGGAAGGGAATAGGGTTGACAACCTTGGAGAGGCTGCAAACCAATTCTTATACTAGCATTCATCTGTCTCTTTCTCTCTCTGATTTTTCTTAGGGCCTTCACTACCTATTTCATGCTCTCTTTAACCCTCCTTGTCTTGTCTATGTAAAGGCAACCTTCTTCTTTGAGGGTTGTACACAGTCAAGAGCTGTATACAGCCTTTTCTATTGTACTAGAGTAAATCAAGTCCAATAAGTATCTTTGCAATTTTAAGAGGTCTCTTCAGACGGCGAAAGGAGGGATTTCTTCAGATTAGTGATGTCAATCTCTAGCTGTTTGATGTTCTTGTCAGTGGCCCTTCAAAGGTCTGAGTAGTATAAGTTCGGAGGCCAGCATCTGGATTAGAACTTCTAACAGCAGACATCACGGGTGATTCATTTTTACCTGGGATGCTACCTGAGTTAAGGATCATTGCTTTCTTTGCTACATTTGTGTGTAAGAGTGCACTGAAACTGAAGTAAGACGTCTACAGCATTGCTGTAGTCTGCCTCATTCTCTCAGGTCCTCAGATCCCAGGTCCAGACAAGAACTTCATGTTGGCTTAAAAGTTGACACTCATAGATTGGTTCCCAGCCCAGAAAGGCTTCATCCAGAAACTGATGGAAACAGATGCAGAGACACACAATTAAACATTAGGCAAAGCTCAGGGAATCCTTTGGAAGAGGTGGAGGAAGAACTGTAGGAGCCAGAGAAGTCAAGGGTACCACAAGAAAACCTACAGAATCAACTAACCTGGGCTTACAGGGGCAGAGACTAAACTGACAACCAGGGAGCCTGTATGGATCTGACCTAGGCCTTCTGCATATGTGTTACAGTTATATAGCTTGGTCTTCTGGTAGGACACCTGACAGTGGGATTAGGAGCTGTCTCTGATTTTTTGCCTTCTTTTGATACCATTTTTCTTCTACTGAATTTCCTTGTTCAGCCTTAATATGAGGTGAGGTGCCTGTCTTACTACAACTTGACATCCCATGTTTGGTTGATTTCCAGGGGAGGCCTGACCTTTTCTGAGGAGAAACTGAGGAGGAGTGCATGGGGGGCAGGGCCACAGGTAAGGTGTGAGGAGGGACTTGGGACAGAGGAGGGAAGGGAAGCTTTGGTGTGTGTGAGGAAACAAACAAACAAACAGAACAAAAACCAACAAAAAAGTACTTTGTGTGCTTCCTTCTACATTGTTCAGTGCACATTGGAGAAGTTTTTTTAAAGACTTTTTTATTTTATTTTATTTATTTTATTTTATGTGTGTGAGTGTTTGCTTCCTTGTATATGTATATGTACCATGTGTCTGCTTGATGCCCTAGGAGATCAGAAGAGGGTAATAAATCTTCAGGAGCCACACAGTTCTGAGGTGGGACAGTGTCCCAAGGGAAGGGCATCCTGAGACATGGGAGCTCATCACACAGCTCGGAGAGGAAGCTGCCTCAGCAGAGGCACTGCAGCATCCAGGGGAGGGCATCCCAAGCAGAGCTCAGGATTCAGGAACTTCAGCCCTGCTCCTTCTTCCCTTTTTTTTGTTTATCACTTCTTCTCTTTTTGGCTGCTTCTTCCAAATGATGCACATCAGGCAGAAAATCTCATGAAAGAGATTTATTGGAGGGTCCAGGGTGTGGAGGGACAAATCCAGGAATGGCTGCCTTCTGCCCCCAGGAGAGACAGCATGGAATTGGAGAATGGGCAGGGCTTATATAGGATCTCTATCTGAGGTGACAGAGTTTTTCAGGGCAGAGCTTTTCTGACTGAGGAGTGGTGGGAGTTCAAGTCCTGAGTTTGGGGAGCTCAGGGACTGGTGTGGTTTCCTGCTAAGAGACTGGTGGCTTTTTTTTCACCCCCTTTTCTCTGCATCAGGCCCATTGCTTGGGGTGGGAAGTCCTTCCTGGCTGCAGCTGGCTTTTGCTGAGGTAACATCTCTGTAGTGGCACTACTGGGGTCGGGGAGGCTGGAGAGGAGGTGTTGCCAATGTGGACAGCTCCTAAGTAGTGTTTCTGAAAGCTGTAGGCTGATGCAGGATAGAAGGTGTCACCACTGTGGATAGCTCCTGAGGGGTGGCTGCTCCTGAGAGGCCCCTCCTACTGAGGCAGAAAAAGTGATGCACCACCCTGGACAGCTTCTCATATCAGCAGTAGACTGAGGCCGGAAAGGGTTCGCCACCGTGGACAGCTCCTGAGGGGCAGCTCCTGAGGGCAGCTCCTGTTGAGGTGGGAAAGGCAATGCATCACCATGTGAAGGCTGCAGGCTGAGGAGACTTCGCAGTCCTGCCATAATTGAAAGCTCCTGTGGAGGCATCTTAAGGCAGACAGCTGTAGGATGGAGCAGGAAGGAGGGGCTAGCTGCCGCTTTGATGGGTTTTGTGACTGCCGCTTAGGGACTATAATTACCACAGTCAACACAAACACTTAAAAATGATTTACTTATTTTTATTTTAAGCATTTGTGTTTGTGTACCGAGTGTTTGCCTGATACCCATGCAGGCCAGAAGAGGACATCAGATTCCCTGGAACTGGAGTTACAGATGGTTAGGAGCCACCATGTAGGTTCTGGGAATAGAAAACTGGACCTTTCAAAGAGCATTCTTAGCCTCTAAGCTGTCTCTCCAGATCCCAGCACAAACACTTTCTAGACTTTCCTGGAGCTTGGAGATGTGCTAATCCCCTGGCTCCTGTGAAATTCACAGGTTTAATGATGATTTGTTCAATGTTATCTATGTTTCATGCTTTATGCATGTGTTGTTTTGATCATTGAAGAATAAAACTTCATTAAATGTGAGTTTGGGACAGCAATTGTATCATCTATTAACTTTTAAAGTCTTTTATCTCCTGTCATCAGGCACCGTCCGTGACTGTGTCAGAAATGTTGGCAATGGACAAAGAAAATTACTTTAACATAGTTTTTATTACTTCATATAAATCTCTTGTTCTAGTGTCTTTTAGTGGCACTAAAGAAGTCACTTATCCAGTGATGTTATATTCCCCATCAATGCCTCTTATTAGAGGCAAGTTGAACCATGCATATTTGTAGGATCAATACTGGCATCTGTCATCACAGCATACATTTTAAAACTTAAAATTAGTCGCTCTACCCCAGTGCTGCTTTCAGTACCTAGTCCAGTTTCCTCACCTTGCCTGGTTATCATCTAGTAAAACAGACTGTGTTATAAAAGTGGCCTTCATTTCCAGGGCATACTGCATCTGTTACACCATCCACACATTGCTTAGTGAATCCATCGTCACTAACTCATTTGATTTCTTCCCTTTTGCCACTTAATACACTAACACATACCTAGCTTTTGTGATGGAATCTATCTGAGCTGTAACTTTGGAATTTTGTTTGTTGAGGAGACAGACTCTTTCGCTCTTCTGCTATTTTATCCTCATGGCATGATCCTTGAGACACGCTGAATTAGGTGGCATGTTTTTGGTTTTCATGCCCTAAGCGTGAGCCTTTGAAAACTTGCACAAAATTCCTCACAAATTAAGCTGCATGTCTTATGCATGCCTTGGCACTAAAGTAGCCATTTTTCTCTCACTTTTTGTCAGATGATGTTCTTTCATCTGGAGTTTCTCTAATTTGGGCTTGTTTCTTTAGCAGACATTGCAGGAGCCACGTTGGCAGGCAGGAGTTAGTTTTCCGTGGGCAGTGTGGGCAAAGGGCTAACAGCACAGCTATTAGCTGGTTCTAGAAACCTGAGAACAAAGAGAGCATAGTTTAATTAGTCCCAGAATCAGATCAGTCAAGGAGACTGGCAACTACAGCAAGGTTGGAGATTAGCAAAGTTCAGAGGCTGGCAGATGAGCCAGGGCAGCAGCCAAGAGGACAGGTCAGAGCTAGACAGACTGGGCTTTAATGTGTAACAACTTCCCTAGTTGGGTGAACAGTGAATGCAGTGTATGGTCATCTCCTCAACTGGGCCAGAGGACACACATAGATTGTGCCCCCTATTGGCTTAGCTCATGATATGCCCCCAAGAACTAAGAAATTCCAATAGTAATTGCCCCAGTTTTTGTTTAGTTTCTACCATAAACTTTTAAATAGCTCTAGGCAAGAAACATTGTGTTTTTTTCCTTTCTTTGAACCCCATCATTCTCAGAAATTTCACTCACTTTCTCAGAAGTCTACTGTTGCTCTGGTCACACCTCCTCTATCTTCGTCTTTATCTCTTATTGCCAGAGAGAGAGAGAGAGAGAGAGAGAGAGAGAGAGAGAGAGAGAGAGAGAGAGAGA